CGTAAAGACACATTCACCAGAAAAAGGAGTTGTTGGTCTAACCTTTAATTATGTACCGAAGATTGAGATGTACGTTACGGTCCATGGATCGCGGTACAAAAGATCATGGACGCGATTTATTGCTAATGGCTGCACCAGAGGTGAACACGACACGAAACGAAATGGAATGTGTATGTGTGTAGGTAGGGGATGATGGAGGGACATGGTGGCACAGGCATAGCAGGTAGAACGAAGAATTATGTTCGTAGTCGGCATGGAGATATTTTGTTTCTTGCAACTGGAACGATGGATGCAACGACAAAGGAGACCGCGAAGTGGAAAACACGTCAAGGGGATAAAGAAATCGGTGAGTAAATTTAGTCAACGTTAACTGGACCCCTTAAATACAGTGTAAACTCTATATAACGACACTTAAGGGACTGAACATTTTTCGGCGTTATAAAGAGTGGTCGTTAAATGGAGAGAAATAATAGATATTATTTTACTATTCTATAATAACATGCATTTACCAATATAGTACACATTTTGGCACAGGAACATTATTATTCATACATTGTATTTTGTTACGTATCTTACTCATATCTGCTGGATCAATCTGATCACATAAAAAGTATTTTTTTAATAGTTTCGCTGCATCAAGTGCTTGTTTGATGCTTGGTGGAGGGACAGGGTCGTCTTCTTCATCAACGTACACAGCTGCAGTTCTTATCTATTTCGGCAACTTAGAAAGTACTGCATAATGATTTATAATGCCGCATTGTTGTCGTTAAATAGAGTGAGCGTGACGCTATTTAGAGTGTAATATTGTATAGAAAACAATGTAATTTTAAGGAGTTTGTACACTGTATTTATTAACAGAAAAAGAATAGGAACGATGAATTGTAATATCAATATACGTAAGAAGGGTCCGAAAAATGAGCGAAAATGTTATTATTAATCATTTGGGTCACTTTAGTCGGATATATTTTCTTGAGATCAGTCTTAATAAACGATATGTCATTTTAAACGGAGTCAATATATCCAAACTTTCCTATAGAGAATTCAATACGAAAACCAAAGTTAACACTGCAATTACTTCATATTAAACGGTTGGTCAGTATAGGCGGAGTCATAATAAACTAATTCCACTGTATATTGCTATATTTTTTTTTTCGATATGCATAATAAAACAGTATTCTTTATCTTAATTCGAAATTTAGAAAATGTATAATAGGGGTGTAAGTACGCCCTGTCCAAACAAAGGCGACAAACTTTCATTATAAATGAAAAAAATATTATTGCGGCATAGTCGTATAACCATGTCCCTTATTTTTTTTTTAGAATAAATTTCCAACAACGCTCCCACGTCGTGGGTATCGATTTTAAATGAATTATTGTTTCATAATAAACAGAAAATGTAATCGCTAATGAATTAACCGCAACAATGCGATAATAATTGTTACTACCTTTTTAATGTAAGAATCGCGTTTACAAATAAGCGCGAACAAAAGGTAATTAAACGGTCATTGGCCGTCGAATGTGACCTTGTGAATAATATAATAATGTATGTATTAGTAAATTTAGATCACTAATCGTTCATTGTAAATAAATATCAATGAACTTTATTCACCCGATTATAGTATTATTGATCAATAAAAAAAAAATACGTTCATGTAATCGACGCGACCGACATTGTTTCCTCCTTCACACAAAAATACGCAAATAATATGGAAATCGAGTAAGTTTTGTTGTCATGAACCCAAGATCCCCATAGTAACAAGACAGTTTGTTTTTCTTCTATGAATACCAAGTATATGACCCACTTGACCTGAATCGTTGTGTGATTGTGATACATAATACGGAAGCCCGTCGTAAAATGGTAGTTTGTAACTTTTCATCCATTGTCATCATCAAAGATGATAAAGTGTGACAATTTTTATAAAATTACATATATAACGCCTAATGGAGTTGCCCTAAGATACTACCCCTATAGCGTACAACCAAGTGATCCACTACTTTTTTCCAAGATCTGATCAGATTATATTGTAATGTTCGCGGGTTTAACAAAATTAACCTCTAATACTGATAACGACAAAACCATTTATTTACACTAATTATTGACGAACTTAAAAAACACTTTGGTTATGAATTATTCTATTTATTTACACTACTGTTGATATATCACTATTCACTGCTTTCGCTGTCAATTTATTTTCCGATTCACTTCTGCAACGGTCAATTTATTTTTTCCCCTCTCGGCGATCGTCTCTTCCTTTAAATACTCTTTTTTTACTTTCGGGAACCTTCTGGAAACATCCAGATAGTTTCTTTTTTAATTGCACTGTTTAACTGCTTTCCCAGAGCGCAGGTACGACACAGACATTTACAAAGTCGGCGAATCGATAAGCCGTTCACGCACACGTGTGCCCAATCGCAAACAAACACACTCGTGCTCGCTATAATATCAAAAGCAAAGCAACCCCCCAAACATCCGACTCTGGCGCTCTTCAAATTGCAGATTAACTTTGTGATACACTTTTATTAAATTCCTCGAAAAGTTTATGAGAAAATAAAATTAAATGACTATGAAAAACATTGTTCAATCGCACGTTAGGTATATGCATTCCTGTGATAAAGGTCGTCAGATTTGATATAAAATTAATTTTTAGTTGCTTTAGTTAAGCATTAGTTCTATATAAAGATTCACCAGATAGTGATCTTGCCGGATGTCGGATGGCCGCATACCCAGCATTAGCTGTGCCTCGTACTCGACGTCACCCGCTACCCAGCCGAATCCGCCAGATCCAAACTAGGTTCCCGCCCCATCTCTAGTTTTATTATACCTATTAAAGAGTTTCTTTATTAATTACGTGATAATAGAAGTGATAATTTTCTACCATGTTTGATGTATCACATTGATCAATTGCCACGGGCCTCTAGCTAATGCTTACCCTGCTTGACGATGAGTACTCATCAATCAGACAATGCCAAAATCAACTTTAATGAAATTGTTTGTTTTATATTGTTTTATCACAACTTTAACAAAAGCTTCATTCCGTTTAAATAAGCCAAATAACAATGATTAGTATTTGTTTCACGGTTGTTATTCGTGTCTCTTCTTTTATTAAAAGTAAAATTTAGGCATTTATTAACATCGGTTTTCAATGTTGTGTACTTTTTATAGTGTTTATTTAGCCTAAATAATCTAATTGAGGTCATTGCTGTTATTAATTATTGTATTATTTATTAATTGTTATTTTAAATTCCATATCTGGCTGGTGTGCCAATTTTGAGCTTAATTTTTACTGATTAATTATATTCGGTACTTATGTGTTAATTTAATGCATCGGTTGAATCTAATCAGTGTCGGCACCTTTTATATTCAACTCTGCCAATAAATAGATAATTTTTTACCCCACTTTGTAAATCATTATTTTTGCATAATATACGATAGCTAAATATACATATGTTTTTGTTAAAATTTGTTTGTCCAAAGTCCAAAATAATGTTTATAATTAGTAAAATTCCTTTTTCATTAGAAATCGTATACACCCTCAAGACAAGGGCATCATTGCGTGCAGAGGCGTCGTTACGTGTGTACGTAGTAGGCATGGCACAATCCTCGCATTCAAAAATAATACTTTTTTCATAATATTTTTTTCAAGGACCTAAGGAGACAAAAGATACAATCTTATAATCCCAAGCACTCAATTACTCGATAACCCTATGCTTTGGAATTAATTTTAATCTGATGAATAAGAGATAGCGTAAACTCAAACTCTCAACAACTTTATATTCTATAATTTATTATAAATGATAAATAACACCCGAGAGCGTAAATAATACACTCTCATGACAAAAATTGAAAGTAAAACTGAACTTAAATAAGATTATATATAAGTTAATTGCAGTTGAGTAATATTCCTCAGAGTTTGTCTGTTAGATCTTTCTCTCCCAAACTACTATTCTTACAATACCGAAAAGAATGTGCATCAGTTTGTACACACATCACATAAAAACTACTGACATAATACTTGCTGAAGGTTTTTCCAACTTTTTTTGGTTTCAAATCAATTCCTTGATAATCATCATCATAAGGTCGTCAGTGGTTGGACACGTACCTCCACTCTTTCCTATCCTGAGCTAAACTTCCCTAAAACTAGAACAGCCCACATCCTTAACTATTTGCGAACAGTAATCTAATCTAGGTCTACCTCTACCCCTCCTAACTCCTGCTTCTGCCTGTAATATGTCTCTGACTAGACCTTCATGCCTGAGAAGGTGTCCTACCAACCTATCTCGCCTATTTTTTATTGACTTCCGTAGAGTCCTCTATTCTCCTATTCTTTCCAATACCTCTTCATTTCTAATCGTTTCTACCCACGATATCCTCATCATCCGCCTATAACACCACATTTCGAACGCTTCTAACCTTTTCTTTTCGCCGCGCCCACTGTCCTTGTTTCGCACCCGTACAACGCTGTGCTTCAAACATACACCTTTAACAACATTTTTCGAATTTCTAAATTAACTGTTTGCAAGCATAAAAGTGACTTCTTTTTATTAAAGGCGACACGACCCTGCGTTATCCTCTGCTTTATATCCCTACTACTCCTTCCATCCTGACTTATCTGACTTCCTAGGTATCTAAAATCAGCCACTTCTTCTAATTTTTCGTCTCCTATCTTTATATTGATAATAATCGAAACAATATCGTTAGAGATTTTGCTACTGGCATATTTCGAGTGAGTCTTTTTAGTTCAGTTTGAAGTACCTAACATTAAGTTCTTTTCCTCGCAGTCAATTCACTCAATTGGACGATATGACTATTTAATTGTTATAATGATACAGAGTTTGTATTTCCATTTTCTGCGTGGTTTTCAATAATAAAATGAGTAATAAGTAAGACCCGGTTTTGTTACTAATTACCATTTTTTTCAGAAGAGCGCGGCTGTCCACCTGCAAAGGCACTGCGCAACGTCTCGGGTGGAACGAACGTTCATGGACTGGATATGGTGGATCCTTGACGGTTTGCCCTTTCCTCATCTCGTCCGAGTGATGGACTGCTTTTTTCACGAAGGAATAAAGGTTCGTAATAAACAGGAGTTGTCAAATACGACGCGCAAGTTTATTTTCCATATTTTCAAGAGTTTTCGTAACATAATTTTTCATTTATTGTTTCATTGTTTTTTTGGTCTACGGAAGTTTATTAATAACTTCTTTAATGGTTTAACTATAGTATCTATTGTTACGTGAAAATTTTCGTTTTGGATTTGCCCAGATCTATTTCCAGTGTGAGACTATAGTTGATTCCTTAATGGTACAAATTGTAATTTTTTTACATACCGATTAGAATTTTGAGGGGATGCAGGTAGGGTCAGTAAGTGGGTAGATCACTACCCCTTGTGAGCCCCCTAGGACAAGGAAGGGGCATATAACGCTTTGCCGCATTTACGTATCATCAGGAATGCCGCGTGTGACCTCATTAAAAATTTTTGGAAAAATGAACTTTATTATTAATGAAAAAAATACAAAATTGAATGAGAAATATATTTTACTAATGAGCAACTGTTCACTTTTACATATGTAACAACGGTATAACATATAATATTTCTTTACTTTTGTCTCTAACATTAAGATAAACCATTTTTTTATCAACATCTATGATTTTACAGGTAACAATATTTTCATTGTTTGCGGAAATTGTAGATACATTTCTATATATTTAGCATCGCATGGATACGTATAAAGGAATTTTTTTTTCGTAGTAGTTTTCCACTAATTTACATATGTAGCAACGGTATAACACATATTATTTCTTTACTTTTGTCACTAACATTAAGGTAAACCATTTTTTTATCAACATCTATGATTTTACAGGTAGTAATATTTTCATTGTTTGCAGAAACTATAGGTACATTTCTAAATATTTAGCATCGCATGGATACGTATAAAAGGATTTTCTTTTTCGTAGTAGTTTTCCACAAATTTCAATACAATTTATATCTCCATTTGGAGGAATATAAACATATTTCACTTATTTGTAAAAATATGTTTGCTCTTAAGTAAGATTGTGTTATTGAACTCTTTTGTAATCAATAATACTTTAAATTGCAATCGTTTTACTGTTGTTCGACTTAATGCGTTTGGTTTCACTTGTCTTATAATAACAATATCAGGAAGTACACTTGTTGGTTCGTTGCAAATGTAAAAGATTTCATTGAAACGACGACATAATTGGGCAAGGTGGTTGTTACCATTTTTTATAAGTTTTTTCATTTTACCGAGAGTATTTTCAAACGGATTTGTCTCATCGAGCCCCCATTAAGGTAGATTTAATGTAAGTTTATACATGTGTTAAGTTAGCCCCTAAAGTCCTATATGAAAAACTCGTAAGGCAATCCTCATTTTGGTATCACCACTTTTTTTTTGTGGAATTTTCATGAAGAATCTACAGGTAAATCCCTATATCGGCATTCCCCTCATAAGTCACATGAGGCCCGCACGCTACATGGGGCATGCCCCTTATAAATTCTAGTCGGGTTATTTATTATTAGGAGCAATTAGTAGAAACGGATATTTCTTGGACATAAATATTTACGTAAACTTTCCCCGTTTCTACATTCTCTTTTTTTTGCAATCACATCGCAGGTAACGTCTGACCAGAATTAATTTTTAGTTGTTTATGATGGTAAAATTAGACAAGCCGTGAAAGGAATGCGTTCCTTGAAGTGAAACATCTTGAGTAGTTTCACTAACTACATAGGTGTATTAGAGAGATTATACATTGAATAAATATGAACTTTATTATTGTGCGAGGTGCTCGAATTTGAGTAATTTTTCCTATTTATTAATTCTCAAATTTGGTATTATAAACGATTTTGATAATTAACCGATTGCAACGCTGTTTGTTGCTCTCTGCTACCAAATTCCAAATATCAATCCTCGGCATTATCGTTTTCTATCGAAATTATCGATAAAGAACTCAGTATTTCTTGTCTCACAGCAATATGCAAGTAATAATAGTAATAAGTTTTAATTATTTTCAATTTTAAGAAATACGTTTCTGTTTTTTTAACGTAACTGATGAAATGGTCATAAAGAGATAGCAAGCTGTAACAGTTTCAGAAAAACTGCTACTCGAGGCATTTCTAATAGAAATGAAATCTAAAATTTTCATAATTTTGCAAATTATTTTTGAAGCACTCTTTGAAAGACAAAATTTGGCCTGAAGTCGTGTCTGACAGATCATCCTCTCATTTCGAGCAAAATTCTTATCTAGCAGAGAAAATTTCACTGTCAGTGCGTACGGACTTGATACGAAGAGCTCGGTAAGAATCGGAGAGAACTGAAGTAAAAACTTGCAATTCGTATGAGTCAGTGGTTTTTAGGGTTGCATGTCGCTAAATGTCCAATTTTTGCTCGAAAAATTTATCTCAATTTGAGTAGAAAAATGACGCACGCCAGGCTTATAGGGTTGAAAAAAGAATGAAATACTCAATCACAGATAGTTTCCGAGTGAGAAAAACAGTTCCAATTGTGCTATATACTTAATCGGATCCAGAACTACTGTAAAAAATTGCCGCAATTCATGGGAATTTACGTTTTGTAGCCTTAGACTCGCTGAATTTTCCATTTTTGGTCGAAAAATAACTAGCACCCCAAAGTTCTGAGATGAAAATATAGCTGCTGGGGTAAGAAATACACAACCTAGAGTAGTTCTGTTATTTGCGCTTAGCTTAAAGTGGCTGATAGCACATTTGGAAGCCACGAACTTGTATGACAATCTTTATTGACCCTACTTTTCAATTAACTAGTAACCAATTGAGTTCTCGCGAAAATGCAAGACGACTTTTCGATATTACTCCATAGAGATTGATGGCCAGGGTTCTGGTCAAATTTTGCGCAATTGTTTTTTATTTCTTATGATTCCTAGGTATAATATTAAAAGTTTTGATTCAAAACTGTTTTTCTACTATGAGAGGATAGGACGTGAAATTAGTACTGCGAAATATTAGTTCTTTGATTTGATTATTAAAAATGCGGAACTATCGGCACGCTGCATCTAGAAATATATCTAGAGAATACAGAACTGGCAAGAAATTCAAAATTGATTAATTAGGGTTGCCTACGTCCTGATACCCTGGTTGGTCAGTTATTTCAAGTTTTAATTATTGGTAACTCAACAAATAGTAATAAGCCATCGAAATGCAATAAAGAAATGAAACGCTAACAAGCAACTACAAAAACTTTTTGGTATTCTGTTGAAACTGTCAAAGTTAGATGACGATTTCGAAATATTTAGTCCTCATCAATTCATTCTGAAGCTTTGCGTAATTCGAAAACTGCAGTGCGTGAGTCTACACGACCAATTTTTCTCAATGAAGTATAAACATGAAATAAAGTTGAAACAAAAACGTTGATATAAATACAATACTTACATGAAAAATTGTTTGTAACTCACAATTTTTTTAATAACCCAGATATTCTTCTCGCATTTGTACAGAAGTGTAGGTTGCTATCATGAACCGCGTTATCAGTGACATCAAAAACAAAATGTAAACCAACTGAGTTCATCAATCTCGTTATTATTCAATCAACCTGATTTCTCAGCAATTTGTTGCGCTTTTATTATTCTGATTAAATTTTTATTTCTTCATCCGCGAGGAATTTAAAAATAACTCTATTGTTCTCATAAATTTATTATGAACAGATGCTTTTCGCTAAGTGTATTTTCTGTTTCAAAATCCAACTTTTATTTTCATTTTGAAGGTCTCAGACATTATTTTACGATGTCATTATTGTTTGAATTTGGCAAGCGACAATTAAAAGAGGGAACATTTTTGTTGTAAATTAATAATAGTCCAGTTGTTGAATGTTAATGTACTTAAAATTTTCAAAAAATCGTGAATGATAAAGATATGAAACACTAGATGTAAATCCTAACTAATGTTGTAAATGGGAATGTGAGTTTGTTTGTTTTTAATGTAGTAATCAATACTGGTATGCAAGGGAAGAAAAAGGAGGGAAAGAGCGAATATAAAGATAGGAGACGAACAATTAGAAGAAGTGGCTGATTTTAGATATCTAGGAGTCGGATAAGTCAGGACGAAAGGAGTAGTAGAAAGCAGAGGATAGGGAAGGGTCGAGTCGCCTTCAATAAAAAAAGTCACTTCTATGCTCACGAACGGTTAATTTAGAAATTCGAAAAAAGATTGTTAAAGGTGTATGTTTGGAGCGCGGCGTTGTATGGGTGCGAAACATGGATAGTGGGCGCGGCGGAAAAGAAAAGGTTAGAAACGTTTGAAATGTGGCGTTATAGACGGATGATGAGGATAACGTGGATAGAAAAGGTTAGAAATGGAGTGGTATTGGAAAGAATAGGAGATCAGAGGACTCTATGGGAGTCAATAAGAAATAGGCGAGATAGGTTGGTATGTCTAGTCAGAAACATATTAGAGGCAAAAACAGGAGTTAGAAGGGGTAGAGATAGACCTAGGTTAGATTACTATTCGCAAATAGTTAAGGACGTGGATTGTTCCAGTTTTAGGGAAAAACGAAGTTTAGCTCAGGATAGGAAAGAGTGGAGGTGCCTGTTCAACCAGTCTTAGGACTGACGACCTTATGATGATGATGAATCAATAAATATTACAAATTAGGACAGACGACCTGCTCTATTATTATTGCTGGTGCTGTTTTTTTTCTTTTTTCACTGGTAGAATTATCCGACACTGCCAAGTACCCGACGTCATTATCCGATACCCTGCCGGATCCTAAAAAAGTGCTGGATCCGCCGGTACCCGATTCAGACCGAATATCCGGCCCATCTCGAATTGATTACATCTCAGACGATAAGGTGAAGGCAGCTATAATACCGTAGATTCGAAAGGAGTCTAAAGAATTATTCAGTGACGGAATGAAAATCAATGATTAGAAGCTTAAAAATTGTACTTCAAGATACTTTTTTCCCGATCTTTCTTTTTGTGTTTGTTCATATTCTACAAGCATATGTGGATTAGTTTTTAGCCTACTTTTGTATGTACTCGCGCAGGTCTCGCATACANTTATAGTTTGAGAAATTGCAAAATATTTTTTTAATAAATTGCAAAGGTAATGATTATTATTATTTATTAAAATCAAATTCTAAGACTAAAATAGCTTCAATAACATATTAAAACTTGACATTTTATTTTTCTCGATGGAGTCCAATTAGTATGGATCCCTTTTAAGAATTTGACAGGTGCCTATTTAACTAGTAAAGCTCAGATAAACCGGTGATTATAATACGTATACTAGCTATGTCATTAAACGACAGTTTGCAGAATCATTTTTAATGTAAATGCCCTGTGAAATGTATCAACTGATGAAAAATTTATCTTCATATGATTACCAAAGAGATTGTGCATTTTTATAATCTACCTGTCATGTAAAACAGCGATTTAATTTAATCCTATAATCGGTTTAACGAAAAGAGATTTGTAAATATGCCGTTAGTTCATAAACATTTTCTGATAAGATTATCGAAATAAATGAATGTTGATGCATTCATTTGGTATTTAGTTTAACTAGGTAATTTGAGAACATATTTTCCAACATTCCATCCGACAGGTGCGACAATTTGTATTCGAAATTTGTTTCAGACAGTTTGGCACTTCTGTTAGGTATTATACCTAGCAACAAAACATGTTGGCAAGACCTATGTGCTAGGTATATAATTGCAGTAAAAATCATGTGAATGCGTAAACAATAACTCTGCATCTAATTTCGCACATCAAACAAATAAAAACTGTGAATATTAACGTATGATGTAGCTACAATAATTGTGTACACTCAAGCCAAGGCTTTTCTCTAAAGAAAACACCTTGCTTTAAACTGCTGTTTACAGGAATGTTACGAACTAAAGAACAAGTGTTTTAATCCGATTACACGGGAACATACCATATCGCGTCAATCTAATTATATTATTAACGTCAACCTTTGTTTAATTCCATTACAATTCAATTCGAAAAAATGTATTTTTGTATTAATTAGGAGTAGAAGTAGTGTGTTATACTTTGTTTTTATAGTAGGTAGTCCGGTCAAAATTTCTATGTTAGAGATGGGGCGGGTACGCTGCAGTACGCGGTAATTCTACCAAAAAAAAACTGATACCAACAAAAATAATTTAATAAGTATAACAAAAAAAACTAGGTATCTAATGAAAATTGCTAATAACGATGGTATTTCATCATCACAAGGTTGTCAGTTCTAAGATTGGCTGGACACGCACCTCCACTTTTTCCTATCCTGATCCAATCTTCGCATTTCTCTAAAACCGGAACAACCCAAAATATGAAGATTGGAAAAACTTTGGCGGTTATTGTAGAACAAACAAAATAGCTCAAACCCCAACGCCAAAACACGACACTGTAGTTATCCGAAGCACTTTTCGGTAACAAGGTTACCTTCTTCAACCCACATCCTTAGCTATTTGCGAACAGTAATGTTCTACTCCTCTTAACTCCTATTTCTGCCTCTAATACGTCTCTGACTAGACCTTCATGCCTATCTTGCCTATTTCTTATCGACGTCCTTTAATTAAAAATCCGCCAGTCATGAATTATTAGTTTAATGTTTAAACGACTTTTTAACGTAGAACATGTAGCAACCAGGTACTACCAGATATCCGGTACCCGGCAAAATCACGTTTCGGTGCATCTCTATTTTATGCTATTAAGTAGTTAATTTTCATTGACAGCAGTGAAAACGAGTTAAAATTTAAATAATCTTGTTTAATAAGGAACTTTTAACACGTCGTAGCCTCATAGAGACTCATCTTTCTCTATTTTTAGTAACAAATTTTTCTTGTAAACATAACATCAGATAGTTTGCATTTTGTACTTGTATTTTAAATAAATCCATTTGGAACAAATCAGTTCTCCGGTTATAAAAGTCAAGCCAACCATTCTTATAAGAAGTGATGAAAATGTTTCGCTAAATGGAGTTTATATTATGTACTTTATAGTTTGAGAAATTGCAAAATATTTTTTTAATAAATTGCAAAGGTAATGATTATTATTATTTATTAAAATCAAATTCTAAGACTAAAATAGCTTCAATAACATATTAAAACTTGACATTTTATTTTTCTCGATGGAGTCCAATTAGTATGGATCCCTTTTAAGAATTTGACAGGTGCCTATTTAACTAGTAAAGCTCAGATAAACCGGTGATTATAATACGTATACTAGCTATGTCATTAAACGACAGTTTGCAGAATCATTTTTAATGTAAATGCCCTGTGAAATGTATCAACTGATGAAAAATTTATCTTCATATGATTACCAAAGAGATTGTGCATTTTTATAATCTACCTGTCATGTAAAACAGCGATTTAATTTAATCCTATAATCGGTTTAACGAAAAGAGATTTGTAAATATGCCGTTAGTTCATAAACATTTTCACATTTATATATTTAATACTAACCACTATTGGGTTTCTTAAAGTTTATCATGTGGTATTAATTTATCGGAACTATCTATTGCATACTGAGGAGAACAAGTTAATGATCAAGAACTTATACTTTTCTTATAATTTTTTTCTTCGTGATACGATATGTATATAGGTATTCACGTAGAACCAGATTTTATTTTTGAGTGACTCTTTCTTTTGGTAGTTTTATCTAGAACACAATCATATTGTCCATTATTTCTTCGTAATTACCTATAAATTTTACATTTTGAACGTTTCTTAGCCTAGATCATTTATTTTGAGTTGTATTTCTTTTGCGACGTTCAAATGAAACTGTACCAAGTCGGGAGGTTATAAATTTTTCGAACATTAATTTGGCAGACCTCGACGTATGTTAAAGACTTAACAAACACTGCAGCGGTCCAATAAAGTCGAGTCCGCATACTATATAATAAAACATCACTTAAAATAGCCACGTAGCCAATATGCATAATATCATACAGGCTGACTCAATTAAAGCCCTGTTGTAACGCACCTGCGACACTAGGTATAAGATATACTCTGCTGACAGTTAACTTTAAAAAAGTAAAAGTCTCCGTTTTGAAAAATAAAAAAAACGGAAACAATTTTTATGTAACGTCAAAATATAAATAGGAACCGTTTCAGTGAATCTAAAACAAACAGCTTAGATTTAGAAGAATGTCTATTTTCAAAAACAAAGCGAGCGTTTCACCAAAATTAAATCAAAATTTAAAAAAAAATATGTAAATGCATGTGAGTATCTAAGAAAAAAGGCCTTTTTTTCTGTTTGAACATTCTTTTTTCGCTATAAACGTCTCCTGGGAAACACAGTGGATTTCGGGTATAACGACAACGAAAGGACCCTGTCATTTCGTCGTTATATCCAGAAGTCATTACAGGCAAAGTTAAAGGAGATACACACACTGTTTATCAATTTTGAAACAATTTTCGGCTTTTTTTAACAGTAAATGTACATCTAGAAGTCACACTTATTCAAAAGTTAAACACACTTGCTACTCAGGAACAACGGTAGAGGTCACCACACTTGTTGACTATCTGTGTGAATGTAAACAAAAGATAAGAAAGCTCTTTGTGTCTTTAGCGGCCGACTTCGGTCGCTATATCTGCATCGGATTACTAGGGATTTGTTACAAATGATTTATTAAAAACAGTCGTTACACCCGAACTCGGCGTTACATCCGAAGTCGCTATAGCCGCATTAATTTTGTACTAAAGTGTGCTTTAAATTCAAGGGACTTACATATGACGTCGCTATAGCACAATGGTCGCTATAACCAATAAATGAAATCCACTGTATAATGAAATTTCGGTTAAAAACTAGGCAATAAGAAGAAATTTACCTAGCTGCGCTAATTTTTACTGTATCACATTGTAATTTTTCAGTTTTTGAAGACAGAGCAGGAGAAATCAACAAACTGTACGTTCTGCCGTGCTGTGGTTATTGTTAGTTTTAAAATTCGAATTTAGTATTAAGAGAGTGGTAAAAATTGTTGCAAAGAAATTAATTTTTAGGTTTTCTACAGAGTGGCAATGGCAATCCTAGTACTGTTTCACAAAAGTTCGTCGAACAGTTCGTCGGACTGGGCAACAGAAATACAGAAGATAGGAGTCGAGAACGCGTTGGCGAAGTTTTGCCAGCACATGCCCGTCTCGCCGCAGAAGGTGCTCAAGACCGCGTTCGGCATACGCGGCCTAAGCTCGGCGTACATCTCGCGAGTATTTATCCGTACCGAGATGGTTCTCAAGAGCAAGACCGTGATAAGCGGCTCGAGGCAGCTCGTGCGACCCAGGTCGACCGAGAATCTGCCCAACAGCCAAAGCCAAAATAACATACAAATGGTCTCGCACACGCTCACTATTCGAGAGGTAAGCAACAAAACTTATTCTCTTATTTTCGTATCTTATATCTTTGTTTTACATATACGATGAATTTAAGCCCCTATTTCTATTTTTGTCGTGGTTGAATGAATTAGGGAGCGTTCAAGTATTACGTAACGCATTTTTTGAAGATTTTTGACCCTTCCCCCCCCTTGTAACTAGTCGTAACATTTTTATGTACCGCCTCCTACCATTTTTACCCAAAAGTCGCAAAAGTTATGTTGCGCAAATCGTATAACATGATTTATATGTTCTATAAATTTTTCTTTATTTTTTGGTTTTTCTTTAGCCGTTTTCCAAATTTCGCTGGCATTTTTTTTTCACAGTGCGCTGGCAAGTCAGCATGAGAGCCTTTTGAGGCCAAGAACAGCTGATGATACAAATCTCCCTCTTTTGAGGGCATTACAGTATAAACACTATGAACTCACTTTAATAACACCGACTACATCAACGTGCTTTGCATAAACACTAACGAATACTGACAACGAAAACAACATTAAATGACGTACAATACAATCGAGGGATTCCCCGTAAAACGTAAACGAAAAGGGTTGCCAACTTGGTAGTTTTAATTCCCTGATTTTTTATTTAAAAAAAGAAACAGTGTTACGTAACGTGTTGAAAGAAAGACCCCCTCCCCCCCTGTAACGCATCGTAACGTTTTACGAGACCCCCTTCCCCCAAATTGCGTTACGTAATACTTGAACGCCCTCTTGCCGTGGTGACAAGGAATTGGCCGATTCAATAGTTTGAAGCTGAATTAAGAAAAAAGGCGATTCATTCATAAAAATCCAAATAAATGAATTGTAAAATTAAGTTTCAACTCAGACCAAACTAAACTAATACACTCTGACCTTCAGGAGGTGCATAGTCTCATTTTTCTTTTTGATATTTTCTACCTTTTGAAAGCTATTGTTGTACTTAATTGTTAATTAAAGAGAACTTTACAAATTAAGAAGTTTCTGGAAAGTACATTTTGATGATTAAACACTAAGTAGTAAAGTTCACAACGCCTAAATGATTTTTTCAACTTTTATAAAATATCACAGAGATTGAAAACGTATTCGTTTGTGTCGGCCCGAACGTAATGATTTTGTATTTGCACCATTTTCTTTAGACTCCTCCCATATTACAAATCCCAATACAACACAGGTTTTTTTGAGAAAATATCCGCGCGATAAAGAAAAATTTACAAATTTTTTATCTCCATCGCAGTGTGTTTTTAATTTGCCTTCCAGGATAGCCAAATCCTTGTCACATGACTAGTTTTTTGTATACTTAATCGTTTATTTATTGCAATTTGATAATGGTCAAATTATGAATTATATGGAGACGTAGCAGAATTTTACATAACTACGTACAATTATTATGTTGCAATTAATATGCCTAAAGCTCCTTCCTATTTAATTAAGCAAATGTAGCTAACAAAATTTTAAAACGAATAACTATTTGAATGGAAACTAATAAAAGGTTTTCAGAGACGAATACACAGTTAGGTAAAAGGAAAATTGATTGTATTAAAATGAGGGTAAAACAGGCTTTTATTTTCCTGTTTTTCCTAATTTTTTGTGAATGAGAACGTTTAAACAGAAAACATTTTATACAATATAGAGATAACGAATTTCGTTTGAGAAAAGGGATTGCCATGCATTTTTTTTTTTTTTTTGAAGTTTGCTTGTTCTCTTCGTACTTATTTTACCCTTTGTTTTTTTTGTTTGTAAATAATTGCTGTCCGTAATGTACGTTTTATTTTATTAACAGGTATTACTGTTTTTGTTTGTTTTAGTTATTTATTTTTCTTTCAGTTAACAACCTCTTACTTCTATTTGTTCTTTGGTTTTTTTGGTCACATGTATTTGGGCATGGTTTAAGGCATTTTAATAAAATCCGCCTTCTCTAAAACATCAAAAATTCTAAAAGTTATTTACATCCCAATAATATTTACAATTCTTTATTTTTCTTATCTTGTTTACTTTTACTTTATTTTCACCAGGCGGGAACTGGGAATGTTATTGTACATGCAGGTATACAGGGTCCAAAAGCATCGGGTATATTTTACGTTTGATGTATTGCAATAATTATTTGTAGCTTTATTAATTAATAATTATAAAAAAGAATCGTTTATCCTTAAAGTTCTTTTTACGATTGTTTTATTGATCCTTAGATATTTTACGATAAATAAATTATACAGTGTGGTGGTTTTTGCTCTATGTCACCTTGTATAAATGTATGTGCATTGAGATTCTTAATAATTGGTTAATTAGTCTTTTAATAGTCAGCTGTTTAAATATTTCAGTAGTGTATTTGAGACCTTAGCGATTTTTTTTTTAAATTATTATTGTTTTATTCTAGTGCTATTTTGACTAATTAACAAATTGAGTACATGGTCCAGTTTAATTAATTTTAGCAAATTTTATGTGATGTATATAATATGTAATCTCTGGAGTGGGGTGAACAATTTTGTAGAAACGGTCATTTCCATTTCAGAGTTTGTCGGAAGAGACGTACAATGAAATGGTATCGTATTATTTTTACAATGATGAATAAGCCTTATAATACCTTTAATTGTTTACTTGTCCCTTGTGTTAATGTTAACTGACATTTTTTGTGCATTGCCCGAAATAGAGATTTCCGATTTTCTTCCATCGAATAAGGACTATTCCTTTTCATGAACATTGTCTGTTTTGCTAAATTTTGCAATAAGCTTGGAAGTAGCAAAAACTTCGCAATACAAATAAATAAGTACTTTTAAAATTATTCCCGAAAAAAATCGTTAAATATCGAGTCAAATTCGGAAGGCGAAGTCCGTAATAAATCGTTGAACTATGTTAGAACTTGTAAATTTCGTCATCTTAAAATGCTGTATAAATGCTAAATACTTTTATGGAAAGTTTTTTTCTAATTGCGCTAGTTAAAAACTTCTGTGATCGGGTCAAATTCGGAAGGCAAAGTACATAGCTGCATACTAATTCTTTTAAACACAGTAGGTGTAGTATTTATATGTAGAATATCGTTACACTGTGGTGCTGGTAAAGGAAATACAACATCCAGATGAATCAGATAATAAGGCCGGAAGGTGATAAAATAACTATTTTTTATTAATTCAAAACTTCATCGTGGAGTTCGTCCTCCTAAAATGACCCGACTAATAATAATAAGTATAAGGTTAATGAACGGGATGGTAATAAAAGAACTACTTTTTCATTCAAAACTTCATTGTGTAGTTCGCCTTCTTACAATAACCCAATTAAATCATTTTTCGTTTAAAAAGTTTATGGTTGGGTCAAATTCGGAAGGCGAAGTATCTAATAGTCCATTAAACAGCGCTGCAGCCCGTAGTAACCGTGTTGATTAAGGACATTCATGATTGGATAATGAAATAGGTGGAGGGTGGATAAATAACCCGATAAAAAAATAATAGTTTTTCATTGAAGACATTATCGCGGAGTTCGCCTTCTTAAAATAACTCGATTAAATTATTTTCTAAAAGGTTTTATTTGAACCGTATTCGTTAAAAACATTTATGGTTGGGTCAAATTCGAAAGACGAAGTACCCAATAATCCATTAAACAGCCCTGCAACAGTAGTAACCTTGTTGATAAAGGACATTCATAATTCAATAATAAAATAAGTGGAGGGTCGATAAATGACCGGGTTATAAATAAATATTTTTTCATTGAAGACCACCGCGGAGTTCGCTTCTGAATATAACCCGATTAAATTATTTCCTAAAAAGTTTTGTTTGAACCGTATTCCTTAAAAATACTTATGGCTGGGTCAAATTCGGAAGGCGAAGTACGCAATAATCCATTAAACAGCGCTGCAACTTGTAGGAACCGCGTTGATAAATGATAATCATGATTCGTTAATAAAATAAATTAAGTGGAGGGTCGATGAATGATCCGGTAAAAGATAAGTAGTTTTTAATTCATAACATTATCGCGGAGTTCGCCTTCCTAAAATGTTCCAACTGAATTCTTTCATAGAATGTGTTGTTTGGGCTGCATTGCTTCCGGAGGGACTACATATTGTAAAGCTTACGGTATTATAAACTTCAAATAATTATAATTTTGAATTGCGCTCACAAAATACCAAAACGGATCGATTTGGACGGATTTAACCAGTGTGTATATATCGTAAAATGAACGCGGAATGCTCTTAAAAAGATATATGGACTTTTTAATGTTTTAAAATAATTTAGCTGAAACGGATCGTTCTGTAAGTTTTGCCAAGTTTATTTTTCATTATAAATATTGCTGTTGTAAAACACATTTCCTCTAAAAAACGCATTTGCTCGGCTAGGCTTAAATGTTCTATAATTGTAACTGTAATTGCTTTGAATACGAATATTTACAAAAACATTGGTCGCGCTCACATTAATTTAAATTACGGTTTCAGCACCTCGTTAAAATTATAGTTAGCCGTTTTATACATAATGTACATGCATACGGACTTTGTCAATATTTCCAGCTAACATTCGTTTTGTTATGACGGCTAGGTGAGTGGATATTGCAAAATTGGAAAAATTTACAATGTGGCGAGCGACGCACATTAAAACTCCCTGGGATGAAATGGGTACGATCAACTCGTTTCATCATCACTTTTATGATTCGTAAATGAAATTAAATAAATCATTATAAGATAAATTAAAATTGTCAGTCGTCTTATAAATCTAAATAAAAAGGAGTAACTTCAGTGTAATATCTTTCAAAAAATTTTGCGATTTGTACCAAAAAGCGCCTGTTTTTTCTCACTCAAGTTCCGTTAGTTTTCATCCCCTTACAGGGGTGTCTCAACTACTTTACGTATGCACATTTCGATATCTTGTATTCAATATATGCTTTAAGTACTAATAACTATTTAGTATTTGGTTTAAAACAAAATTTGTGAGTGAGAAAATGGAATTTTTCATTCGCTTTTTTATTTGTTCTTTAGATTTATAGGGTCATTTCGTTTTTTTTTTGTGGAAATGAAAGACAGTTTTCATATAATAAACAAATACTTTATTAAATTATATATTGACCGTTCTGGTCCAACACCTTTTGCCATCTTTCTGGTAGTAGCATAATTCCACGCTCATAAAATTTTTGGTCTTTGCTGGCAAAAAACTGATCGAGGAGGTTTTTGACCTCCTCATTTGAGGTGAAGGTTTTACCGTCTAAAAAATTTTGGAGTGACCGGAACAAATAATAATCCGATGGTGCCAGGTCTGGAGAATATGGTGGGTGTAGCATTGTATCCCATTCAAGCTGTAAAAGCTTTTGGCGAGTGACCAAACTTGTGTGAGGTCTCGCGTTGTCTTGGTGAAACACTACACCTTTCCTGTTGATTAGTTCTGACCTTTTCTGTTGAAGTGCATCATTCAGTTTGTCCAGCTGATGACAGTAGACTTCCGAATTAATCGTTGTGTTATCCGGTAAAAGCTCAAAAAAAACGATTCCTTTAAAATCCCACCAAACAGACAGCATCACCTTTTTTTGGTGAATATCGGCTTTGGAAATGGTTTGAGCCGGTTCATCTTTTTTGCTCCATGACCTCTTGCGTTTGACGTTGTTGTATACAACCCATTTTTCGTCCCCAGTGATGATGCGCTTCAAAAACGGATCATTTTCGTGACGTTTGAGAAGCGAATCGCAGACGTCAATGCGGCGACACAGATTTCTCTCTGTGAGAACATGGGGAACCCATACATCGAGCTTCGAGGATAATCCCAGGCCTTTCAAGTGGTCATAAACTGTTGAATTTGATAAATTTAACCTCAATCCGATCTCACGTGTTGTTATTCGCCGGTTCACATCAACTAATGCCTTTATCGCGTCTTTATCAGCTTCAACCGGCCTTCCCGAACGTGGTGCATCTTCGACATCAAAATTGCCGGATCGAAATTTAGCGAACCAGTTCTGGCACTGGCGTACTGTCAACACACCTTCTCCATACACATCAGTCAATTTCTTTCTGGCTTGAACAGCATTTTTACCCTTTCTGTAGTAAAACAGTAAGATATGTCGAAAATGCTGCTTATCGCTCTCCATATTTAAAAGGGCACCAACCAAAAACTACTTCTTAGAATTAATTGGAATTTTTCACACACAAGCCTTGCTATATGAGCTCTCAAGGCATATAAAAATTATACGGCTTAAATGTGAAGTTGGGTGCAAAAGAATACAATTAAATCCTCTGTCGGGAAAAAACGAAATGACTTTCCGAACAACCCAATATTTTACCATCAAAATAGAAACACCTCCGTCTAATTTAATTAATCTAATTTTAATTTAAACGCAAACAATAGTTTGCTTTTTGATGTGTAACATCTTACGGCTCGGTATGTACGTAGGTGGAATTATCAGTAGAATTTCTTGAATGCAACGGGAAATGCCTTACCGGAAGTAGGGAGAGAGGCGCGCGTTCGAGAGAAAGAGAAAAAAGACACAGCTGTCAGCCCGTTCGATCTGTTTGTAAAAACGTAATTGTTACTATAATTAACATTCTACACATTCAAAGTTTAAAGTCAATTTCTTCTCATGCTGTGTTATTAAATCCCTAGTGTTTAATCATTATCGACTATCCCAAGACCTATTTTAGTTAATTTGGTTTTTGCGAAAAATACATGTAAATAATATTCTACCTTTTTATCCCTTTTTTGAAACCTGACCTTGCAACCAAACAGTTACAATATTTTTGACGAAAAAAATCACAAAAAACAAGCTACTTAGCATAGCCACTGTTTCGTTAACTTTGAAATTATTAAGAAAGAAAAATATTACTTTTCATTTTACGATAGCTGAATATATGAATGTTAATAATGACATTTGCAAGTTTATTGAAACATTAACGAAAGATATGTTGCTTCAAAACAACTCTAAGAATATATGAAAACGTGTCCTATTTGCAACTACTTTTTTGTTTAGGTAAATTAGAGAACAATTATATGAACATTAGTAAAAAATCCGGTACTATTCAGATTAACTAAAAATGTTAAAAAGGTAAATGCTTCGAAATTTGTTTGGGTTTCTTACTTTTACGAAGTCTCTTAAGATCAAACTCAAATTGGCAGAAGCAGAATGATAATAAAAAAAAGAAATAAAGTCACAATCCGTTTCAGTTGACCCTCTGTCGGATTATTCAGAATTTAGTATTCAGAAAGCAAAAACCCAACTAATAATACTACATCAATTGGGTCACTCCTCCCCTCGTCAGGCTAAGTCACACTTTCAGCAACCCCCTTACAAATATTGCGTCACAAAAGGCAGTCGGGGAGGGGGTAGACTATAAACTGTTTCTTGTGATAACAAATAGTAATGAGAATTACTTTCCTTCGTAATGAAAATTTTAAGAACTTCCAAGTAAAAAAATATATATAAAGTGCCACGCCCCCCTTGTTATATCTCGTCACATTAAGCAATACCCCCCCTCTTTATTCGAATGTATTTTATAGACGACCCAACAACCATCCTTTTGTTTTTTTGTTAAAAAGATTTGTAGAGTTCGGTTAATTTAGAACCGTTTTCAGAAAAGCAAAAATATTTTGAGGTAGGCGTGGTTGAAAAAACGTATTCCACTGGTTCACTAAATTATGCATTTTCGCTCATGCAACATAAAAAGAAAAATGCAGGAAAGGAAATGCATAAGTCTAATTCGATGAAGGTTTTATACAGCGTAACATGAATCATCTACTAAAGATAATCGTTTTGAAAACAAACATCAATCGGGTTTATTAATCAAAGGTAGTAATGTTCACATTATAACCTACGTAAAAAGTGATGACAATGTTGAAACATTTTGAGGTGACGTCTTATAATTCGGTAGAGCCGGCTGCACGCACGAAAAAACATGACTCATGCTTCGTTACCTCGCTCTGAGGCGTTCCATTTAAGGCTTGAAGTGCAAGCGAGAGCGCGGAACGAGCGACAAAGAGGCACAATCGGCCTCCGCGTTCGGCAGCGTTCGACATCTGTCTCTCTCCTACTTGAGTGAGCGATGGGTCCGCATGGACAGCTGCTATACAATAATACATTTCCATTTACCTCCTTCTCTATATCCATACAAAATATCTATCAAACAAATAAAATTAAAATTTTCTTTTTTAAAATGAAATAATTTCATCAGTATTTTCTTATGACGTTGTCACGTTCAATTATCGTCAGTAAACCGACTTTACAGACAACCGATTTTTTTTTGTTTTCAAAAGGGGCTCTATTTGCAGGGTTCTCGTCTAATAACTATGCTACACAAGACCCCCGGTCCTGTACAACAGTAGAAATTGGTACATTTTGAATGCTCACTAAAATTTTATTAAGTGAACCGCCTGAAATAGAAAGAAAATCATATACGTGACGCGGAAAATTGAATTTATTTTGAATAAGTTGGAAATGATACAGATTTTTGAAAAATAACGGATACAACTGTGTCTTCTGTAAACAATACAAAAAAAGTATGACAGGTACGAAACCTAATTCGTTTTTTTATTGAAGTTTTCTTGCTATGAGTTACCATCTCTTGTATCTGCAGGTCGATAAAATGTAAAATTCGGCAAATAAATGGAAGAAATTCAGGAATCTCTATATGTTAATGTCTGATGCAGTTTCACTTTCTACCTTTCAGCAAGCACTTCACACAGAGTTGCTCATGTGGTTTTAACATTTTTTGTGCTTCATAATAAAGCAAACGAGCCAAATCGTATCATTTTCTAACATGCCATTTCACTCACGTTTCTTCGACCTATCATCTGTCATACTAATGGGACAAACCGGGCTTTTTTCATTTATACGTAATTCTCTGAAGAAAACTTACCTCAGGAATTACTCTTTATTATTTCGAAAAGTGGATTCAAATAAAAAAAATTAACAACATAAAGAAATATAGAAGTTCGGTTCTTTATGCTTCAACGCTTAAAGTTTCACCTTCGAGCACAAGTCGTTTAAGTAAAAGTTTCATTCATAAATAAAATTACTATTATATGTATCTACACCATTGTCGATTGTATTCATTGATGCAAAGTGCAAAGGCTATTAAACGCTTTTAAAAACAAAACAGATCAATTTGAAAACAGTTACCTATAAGAAGGTGATCAGTATTTTTAATTAAACAACAAAAACAATTTTTTATTGGACGTAGTCCTTATAAATTGTGGTCATTGTTGAAATTTGAGGAATATATTTATTACATCTCATAAACAATTTTTTTAATCTAAAGTTAAAGAATAAAATTATTAAAAAAATCTAGGAAAGTTGGTTACATATAAAAGATATGTGCAATTTCGAAAATATTGATTTGTTTTTCTTTCCAATGAACGTATTTTTAGCATAGCGATCGACTGAATAACAATTTTCAAGTGTAAATATCTCATTATCTATTGCAAATTGACGAAAGGTGATTCAAGCTGTTTTTGTAGATTATTTTATTACCTATCGATTTTATCTGGATAATTTTTCTGAGAAATTTGCAAAACAGTGGTTTTTACATAGGGTGGTTTTTACATCATTTTTCGACAATGCTGCTTAGTTTACACGTCAAGACGATTTAATGTCTCCCTTCACTGGACTATACTTAATGCAAATAAAATTGTACCTAGTACTCTCTATCTATTAGTACTTTATTCCTACATTAATTTTACTACTTGTAACTGTCAGTATTATTGAGTGTTATAAATCCATTAAGTCGGAATTTCCCTGTGACTTGTTCTGTTGTGCTGCTAACAAAGGGGGCACATTCCCCCGGTCCTCGGTCGCTCTCCATGGGCATCTACCCCATACAGAACGTTGATTCACGAATAACGAATCACCAAGATGTAAGTTACCACAGCACCGATCACGTTCGATGTCGTCTATATCAATTAATTATCACCAAAATATCGAGCGCCACATTTCTTTCTTTTTCGTTTTTAATTTTCCTCTTTTTTTATTATACCCTACACACGCTTATTATTACCACCATTTTACATAAAAAGTCCGATTTTCTAGTTAATTTTGGTTTGCAGTGTAACATCGAAATTGTTTTTGCCAAAACGGTACACTTTGAATAGATTAAAAACATCTAAAAAAAAATATATAATTTGGTACTCACTCACCAAAAGTTCATATCAGTGATAACCTTTACAGTTTCTTTTCTCTGTTGTTGTTGTTGTGTAAATATATGTATATTCTATACAAACTATTATCGAAAAGGAATCTCATGTTTACTTCAAAATGTGAAAACAAAAATGTACTAGTAAGTGTATACTGATTCAACCACACATTAAACTGGTGATTCTTTCAAAGATTTTGGTAAATAAAATTGCTTATCTTGAAAAGTATTTTTAGGAAAAATTATGTCTACGGTGTGAATTTTATTTACAATGGTTTTCATTTCTTTCCTTAATTCGTATTAAAAGTGGAAATCAAGCTAAAGTTGGGATTGCAAACTAACTAGAATAAAGCCGTGTAACTGTGGGAGAAACGTTGATTTAATTTAAAATCCTATTTTGACTTGATTTTTATTTTTTGCTTACAATTTTTTGTTTTCTGTTTATTATTAGAATTAATGTTTTACAGTTATTTTTCCAAATTCTTCCGTATTTTAACAAGCAATTTTATCTTACATACATATAATTAACTATACAAAGATACTTAATACCACATTTACAAACGAAAAGAAAATTAGAAATGTACCGAAAAAATTTACCAATTTATCTCTTACAGAGCCCTGCTTATTTATACCTTGCAAAATGGTTTCCTTTGCACAATCCTGTTTTCCAAGATCCTGACACACATTCCAAGATTAGAAAAACGGTTCGCAATCATTATCCTATATTAAGTATTATTAGCAAAATTAAGTCGCAGCTTTACTTTTGAAATATTTTTGTGCATTTACCAAAAAAATTAAGAGTACAATGCCTCACACATTTTTCGTTGTCCTTTACACTTTAAGAAGCCGGACTAAGATTTACAGTAAAGAGATAATTTCCTTTTTTAAGTTGAAAACATGTTTATTCTTATTATATCTGCGTATGGATGTCGCATACTTATGAATATTTTGTTTATATATTAAATCAAGTGTGTAAAAAATTTAATTCTCGACCGTCTCGTATTGTGTTGAACATTGTGTTTGCATATACCTTCTTTAAACTTTTACGTGTTTATGAACACGTAGTGCGAATGTCGTGTTTTTTTTTCTTGTACCTGTAACTTCTATTTAACACAAACTGTTAAAGTGGTACTGTTAATTATCTCATGCAGGCAATCGCAAAAAGTTGCGTTATTTGTTGATTGTATATAATAAACATAATGTACACACGTATTCCTAAAGAAAAGCTGCGACTGTCTTCACTACCACCAACAACACATTTCATTAATTTTCATAGCATATGCACTGCAGGGTGTAATTATTAGTAAACATAATTTTCATGTCTATAAAAAAAATAACAGTAATATCTCATTATTTTCGAGTCAATACAGTAGAGAGTGAAAATGAAATGCGTACATAAAAATTAAAATTTTTTTTTTTCTAGCTTTTACTCATCGTGTGCAACATTCGTTTATTAGTTTTAATTTGTTAATTAATCAATAAAAACTTCGGTTCGCTGTGAAAAGCTTCTGAAAGCTATTTTTGTTCGTAATAAACAGGAAGATAAATAATGATTTTGTCATTAACAATTTTGTTATTGATTTTCCTTGAGAAAAATACGCCCACGTATGTAGCATTTCCTCTAATTTATGTGGCATAAAAATTAATATTTTGGAATTGAATATTAACTTGCAGTATCTAATAAATATTATAATAATAATTGAAGATATTTTAAAATAACTACACCCGGCAGTGAAAAATTCACAAAATCATACATTCAATATAAAAGCGCACCCGCTAATTACAACATAAACAGCACCCATAATCGCAGATCATTCAAACATACAGACGTGTGTCACCTTCATACATATAATCAAACTGACACTGCGCTTTGATATTGTTGGCTTTTGTTATTTGTTGGATAGTTTAAAAAAAAAGAATAACAGTTTGGCTTGTAAATGTCACCGAAATAATGTTATAAACTAATCAAGCATGGCTAAAAAACAAATGATTTTTTTAATGGCAGTTAATAATTGAATTGATTACCGATGCTCGGTTTTTGTTCTTGTGGTTTTTTGAAACCGTCAGTAGTCATGCTTAGGACGTTTTGCAACTGTTCATTGACGAAATGGGAATACATGCATGTCATTATTGCTCCTTATTATTTAGCTATTGACCCTCTGGTCCTGGTTGCCCGTAAGGATCACAATGTACCAGCCGATTTTGCTCTACACCACGGAAGAACACGGATGCTCGCTGACGACGTTCTTTGTACGTGTTGAACAACATGAACCAACGCTGCTCATGATCAAAACTTGTAATAACGAGGTAAGAATCATTTTAGAAAAATACGCATTTATAACTTTTTATTTACTTGATAATCCCATACTAATTTCGTAGTTTCTAGAAATTTGTATAGAAGCAATTCCATTACACTCAGAAAAATGCTTTAAGAAAAATTACTATAACGTTGTAGAGGTCGTTTTGTAGAAAATGCAACTCAAATTTGTAGTAAAGTTAAGTAACGGTAAACTTAAATTTGACTATAAAATTGTAGGAGAAATATCGACAGAGGCTCAGACGAATTCCTTACAATTTGAATGAAATATTTACAACTACTTCGTGAATTTCATTACAAAATGTAATAGTAAGATTAAATAAATTTTGTAGAAAATATAAAGATAAAATGTAGCAATTTTTATTGAATATTTATTTGCGTTTCAGTTGTAAACAAATATGCTACAATTTTGTATATTTTTTTTGTTAATAATTGTATAGAGATATGCTACAACGAAAAGTAATTTTTAAGAGGAATTTGCAGTACATAACGTTGTAGTAGAGAGACAAACAGTTTGTAGGAAGAAAAGTAATTACAATATTATATTAATTTTCACTACAACTTGTTTCTGTCCCTATAATCGCTACTAGTTGTAATGAAAAGTTCTACAATTGTAGAAGTTTGTTCTGCAGTTTTTTCTGAGTGTAGGATTAATTAAGAAAAGCGCTTACCAAAATAGACTTGAAAAACGCGAAAAATGCTTAAGTATGTATTATATTTTAGAAAATGAAAATCCTTGTACGCCAATACAGATATTTTCTATCTAGAAGGTTTCGTCAATGTAATTGTGAATTGTGATGTCTGTCACGATTTAAAAAGTTATAAATCAAATGGTATACCAAGTAGATAGTAAGTAAATTAAATAAACAGATTAGGTACTTGACTTATCTGTCAGCAAATACTAGATAGGAAAATATAGATTAGTAGATGGAATTATCTAGAGGACATTCAAAAAGGCTAATCGTAATTACTTATTACTTATGTAAGTATGTATTTTAAAAGTTATTTGTTGAGAAGTACACTACAAACGTATATTTTTATGGGAAATCACAGCAAAAACATTGAAAAATTATATGTAGGGCTAGTGAGATCTACAGATACATACTTAAGCGCAAATAGTTCGAGAAACAACAAAGCTTTCAAAAAGACGTCGAGTATCATTTTGTGTTCTTGATAACACATAAAATTTAAAGTTCCAACAAATAATACAATATTTTTTCTTCCACTCATATTTTAATTAATTGATATGTATAAATTTTATCGAATGTTGTAAAAGTAAAATGATAACAAACAAATACGGTTTACGTACACTTCATTTTATTATTATAGTAATATAGTATTTGTAAAATATTTAATAATACAGTCCGATTTAAATTCAAACCACACCATCAGGTCCCTTAAAATTTAGTAAAAGATACGATAGTAGGGTACCTAGAAATGTAGAATACCCTTTTTAGTTTGTGAGATATTCGAAGAAAATCAAACTTTTAGATTTTATTTAACTCGAGATATTTATAATAATAATAATAGGAAATCATAGCCAAATAGGAGCAAAAAAGTTTTTATTGTACTAAAACCAACACCAACGTTTCGCTTCTGGTTTGAGGCTTAGGTACCTTGATAAATGTTTCGTCTTTGCGGGACCATCATGGACATTTAAACTTACGGGCTTTTTTTCTTTTTAAAAGGAATATGTACTACAGCATACGGTAGCTAACTAATTCTCGACGTTACCAAATTCTTTTCAAAAAAAGTTAATTCCAATACTTAAAATTTGATTATGATACTGCAAAGGAACTAAAAAAACTGGAAAGAGAATGTTATCTGTATCTTTCAGTAGTCTGATTGTAATTGAAATATTTCGAGTTAAAGAAAATCCAAAATTTTACAAACTAAAAAGGATATTCTATATTTCATTAGACAACTTTTGCCTCCATTTAAACGGCATCGTATTCTCCTATGACAGTTAAGGGAATCCCCATGATTAGCGTCGAATTTGAGACATACTGTTTATAGACAAATAAATACGAAACTTACGGAAATTTTGTTCAAGACCTACCAACAAATGATTTAAAGTACTCAAAGATTAAGATTATTGTAGCTATGACATAATGCATGATGTGAATTGTCATTATCGATCGATTCAGTAGTTAATTGTAGATGCAAAACCCATTAATAACTGCACCTAGGCTTACAATTAAGCGTATGCTCCAAATAGCTTCAAATTTTTCCTCAATTAAGGCAATTTATAATATTAAAATAATTTTAAAACTTTCTTGAAAATTTTTGCTTTAATTAGCCAAAGTAATAAACAACTATTAATTTCCTCGAATATGTTTCTAGATGTTTTAAATAAAATAATCAAAAATAAGCTTTGCTTTATTCTGAAAAAATAAATTGCGTGTATTAGGTTTTTGGCGCATACTGCTCGACAAAATGGGGTGAACGAAATCTTAAAGACACCCAGGGTCAAAGACAGGCATACTTTGGAACTGGAGAGACTTTCCTGTTTTCGCTTTATCCAGAAAGGTCAAAATACCCTTGGGTCGGGATAGACGGAGACAAGGTGGATCACGGAGCGGAACTGTTTATGGCCGCGGACAACAAAATGATCACAATAGGCGGAGGGTAAGTAGAAGTTGTCAGCCTTAACCCTTATTCTGTTATTATTTTTAAATTTTGTGTAGTGACTATCGCAAACTATGTATTTTTTTACTGAAGTAATTAAACAATTTAAGTGTTTGGTTCCAAATTTATATTTATTTTCGTTAAAATGAAAGGATAAGTGATGTTTTATTTAGATTTTGTGCATAATGGCCAGCGTGAAGTCTGGACTATACGGTGGATGGTCGTTGTTTTCCTCTATGACAATGCACAACCACAATAGAGGCATTTTCGATCATTTGCCTTACAGTGCGTATAGTCCAGACTTCGCACCTAATGCTTTTCACCTCTTTCGACAGTTGAAGGCACGGCTGAATAAATTTTAATCTTTGATAAAAAAATTTGTTGAAAAAAAACAGTCCCCGTAGTTATTTTACTAAAGTCAACTTTCAGTGTTTTACCCCCCAATAAAAACTATTTTTATGTAATTGTAAACGACTTGTCAGTCTTTTCAATTACATACATCGAAATAAATTAATTGTGGTTAACCAGTCATAATCGAAATTTTGTATAACTAGCAAGTACATTAATACGAAATGCGTAGGCTTTAGTAGTGAAACGTTCAAATTTACATGAAACGTGTCAGCTAAAATTCATTTATGCAAATTTGAAAATTATGGTCAATAAAAACTTAATAGTTTCTGCAAATGTACAGATGCTTGTGATAAAAGGCTAACATTTTTACGATACTCTTTGTAAATTTTATGTATTAGGTAGGTATATGTTATTGTGGCAAATAGGGAAAAATTAAAAAATAGTGCTCAAAAATTTTTATTGGAAAAGCGCCCCCCCGAAAAATGTACATAGAAACTAAAGCTATTTGGCATAGTTCTCAAAAAATATTAAATAATTTCATAATGGAAAGAAAAAAATAGGTCATTATAAAGAACCAGATATAAGGAATTCAGTTTTTTATGTTTGTAAAGGGTATTTCAAAGATATTTCCGAATGTACTTGCATATTTTTTTCCCTCGTTCTACATCTGAAATAACAAACTACGATTATAAAAAATTATAATTACCGGACGTTTCCTAAACTTTTTTTTTTTTTTTAAATTAATTCGCAATATTGTGTATTAACACTCCAACAGCATAATATGGAACCTTATGTAATCAACTCCTATTCGTACTTTTGCAGAAGCTCCTTCCAATGTTATTAATATTAAAATATTATAAAACATGACATTAGTACATTATACTGGTTTTACAATTTCCATTTTTTTTAATAATGACAAACCGTAAGGATCCAATATTAACCTTTTATAGAGAAGGCGGAATATAGGATTTTTATATTCCCAATCAATTTGTTCAGGATTTTTTAAAAGCTTTTATAATTGTTACAAAAACAAGCTTAAAAATATTCACGAGTAGTCCGAGTTTTACGCCGGAATACGTGTCTGTATGAGATCAAAATAAAAAAAACAAGTCTCGCCCAGTTTTTTAATTGAATCCAGCCAGACTGTGTAAAGATTATCTAATTTCCTTTTTTATTGTCGATATTAATAAACCGGCGGCACATAAATAACATAGGCCAAGTAGTAACCGATGCTAATTATTACATAGCGTAAAAGAAGACAACCTGTTGTTGTAGTTGCAAAGATATTTGTGCATCATGTTACATTTGCGGTTGCGTGTGTGTGTGTGTGTGTTGTTTGTACACGTAGCATAAATCTTAATCTGGCAAATAATGTTAATCGGATAATTTGATTACAGCGAAGGTCAAGCTATATGGTTGGACGAAAACATTCGATATGGCAAGACGGACAGATGTTCAACGTTCAACAATCCACCCCTATGTCCCAGCGGTGACTTCGAAGTCAGGGTACTCGAGGTATACGGATTTTCGAACGAACCGATGAATTAAAATTTAAGATAATATAAGAAATAAAAATAATCGAGTCGCAGAACCAACCAACACAATCAATCGAATCAAATCTGGTAAACCATTTAGCTTCTTGATGTCTTGTGAAAATAATTATTATAATAAATAATAATGTATCAATTTGCGTACGACGTGGTATGCATGCAACTTCTTGTAATCGTATTTGTACCTGTCCTACACGTAAATGTTGAAACTGTTGGAAAGAAATTGCCAGAAGACGAGCTTGAGCATTCCAAAACGATTTTTTTGTTTTTTTGATGGAATTAATTGGAAATGGGAGAACGAACGAGAACGGGTGCTGCCCTCTATTAAGAGGGCTGCTTCCGGACGATTTTTGTTGCTTATTCATTTTTATTTTTTTGAAATAAATGCATATGAAAACAATTAATCAAATACGAAAAAGTGCCGAGAACAAATCAACATTAAACTTCTGACATAATAGAAATCTAGTCGATTCTTTGTTAATTAAACGTTAACAATTTAATTACAATTTATTATTACTATTATTAACATTAACTTAGCGTTAAGTTGTAAGCTTATTGTACAATAATGTTTTGTTTGTATAAATTTGTACATACCGAGTTAGTTGTTGTAAATTTATTGTATATTTGCAGAGAGAGGCCACGAGAGCTATAATTCTGTTATACTATTATTA